TGTTGATAACTATTATCGCAATTAATGTTTTTGTTTAAAACTTATCCGTCCCTGAATCACGAACGTTTCCGAACACGAGAGATACCAACGAGGTTTCCTGTTTAAGAGCCTTGCGTTGATATTTCGATCTCGTTTCGAGCCAATCCCTACCCAGTCACCCCGCACGTTTGCAATTCTTCGCAGTGTGTGGTGTCGCACCGATCACGACGTAAGACTTTTCACGATTTCGTACTCCGATTTTAGAGCACCGCTACCGAATTCATTACGGTTTATTTTCGGCTAGAGGCGAAGATAAGAAGCGTCCGAAGTAGAGCAGCCGCGTTCTTCCTTGGCCGAATGACAAAGAAAGAAAAAAAAAAAGAGAAAATGAAACGAAGGCTAATCAGGCTCGAGTAGATCGTGTTGATAGACTGTGGGGCAAGTATCGAGAAATCAAGTTCCGCGGCCGACTTGGACGAGAAGTCGAGTCGTTTGTCACTTTTACTGTTGTTGAGGTCAGTCGAGCATTGACCGCTCGTCGATTTGATTGGCGTGTACCTGTACGAGATAGCTCGATAACGCGGGATTTCATTTAAGCATTTCGTATCTCTGCTCGCCTTTCTTCCTCCGTTTTTTTTTCCTCGCTCCTCTTTCTGGCATCTTTCTTTGTGTCTAACGCATTTCGACGCCGGTTTCACGATTATTTCCAACCAATCCTCCGCGGCTATTGCTTTGTCGACAATGTCGTTGAGTATTCTACTTGTTCTGTTCTTATCGTCACCAGACCTTTTATCATCGAACGTGCAACTTTTGATCCATCGATTATAAAGTTACTTGAGGGAGAGGGAGAGAAAGAGAGACAGAGAGGAGGAGAAGAGAGAAAGAGAGGGAGACGGACCAAAGAGAGTGCTGTAGCTTGGAACACAGTTTGTGTACGGCACTTATGCGGCACTTTACCTCCGGTCATTCACCTCGGTTCTCCTTCGAGCTCCGACGCGGAGGTGTTTAACATTATTCGCCTCCGTTCTGCTTTGCTGTTGTTATTATTTTAATTGCAATACCGACACGGCTGCGTTAATGCACCAGCCTATCTACCGATCCTGCAGGTTCACGATGCTCGCGGATACAGCGATCGAATCTCGGCTACAACCTCGGCATTCCAGTTCGAGCTGACGCGACGATTAAAATCGAGTAGAAAGAGGATACAACTCGATTTCGTGGTCGATTACCCAGTTTCTCGGCTGCACGTTACGACATTCGTCGGGAATTTTTTAAAACGAATTTTGCAACGAACGTTTCGTTGCCTCACTGTTGCAATTTCGATGGGTTGACCTGTTCGGTCGGGGCGCTCGGTCGGAGGGCGTTGAAACGATGCGCTGTACAGAAAAATGTAGACGAACGCAGAAATTTGAGCATCCAGTGGTCTAAGGGAGGAGGTTTGCACATCTAACTTACTCGAGTTTTGCCCAACGTACACATAAACGATCTTCGTTAGTTGCATGCTGTTAACAGGGGACGCGTAGCTGTCTATGTTTATACCTGGCCAAAACTCAGTGAGGTAGATGTACCCAAAGTCCCGTCCCGTCCCGGCCCGAACCGTTCCCTATGGTTTTCCTGCTGCGACATCGTTCGTACGAGCTCACATGCTTGCCAGTTTTGCGTACATTACGTAACGCGAGGGGATCTATTACGTTGGAAAGTAGAATCGTTCGGGCGGCGTGCGAACTGCTGAAAAATCGATGCGATTAGCGATTCACGTCATATCGAATCGCATCGTCGACATTTCTTTTGTGTCGAACGAGAAGGAAACGAAGAATCGCGTTTGACATTGGGTGTGCGCGAGCAATCGTTCACCGTAAAATCGTACACGGGTACCGTCCGGGAAAGACAGGTACGAAAGAGGGATACGAGACGAAGAGACGAGCGGACAAGGATGCTGCGTGTGCCCGTGTACAATTCGACACGGCTCGGCACCGACACACTAGAACGAGCTTCGAAAATTTCGGCTGCGAAAGAGGTCTTGGGTTATCGACCCATTGGCAGTGGTCAGTGATGGTAACGGGCGAGCAATCGAGCAACCAAGCACACGACCAACCGGACAACCAGTTCATCCGTCCGATGCATGGTTCGGTCCTTCACCCGGCATTATCCCGACTGTTACGTACTCGCACGTATATGACACGTGCTCGCAATATGTACATGGCGCTCCTACGTTTGCACCCCTTACCCTTTCGCGTCTCATCGTAGCGCATCATCCTTCTTTATTTTTTCATCAACATCCGTTTTTCTTGATCACGAGCTTTAGTGAGATGCGAACTCTCCGAAATATATTTTTTCAACGAAGTAAATAGCGGCAGTGGTACTGGCATTGGCACGCGTAAAAAGTAGAAGGGTGGCTGCTGCAGAGTGAGAGGGTGTTGCAGTTGTATATGAGCGGCGAGGGTGCGGGTCGGCGTAAAAATTGAAAAGAGAACGAGGAAGCAGCCGTAGCAGTGACATTCGTCTGTCGAGAATTAATACGGTCGTGTGGCAAGGCAAGGCGAGGCGAGACGAGGCGAAACGCGAGGTGAGGCAAGGCAAGGCGAAGCGAGACTCCACTATGGTTTCTAACGGATCAAGCAAAGGTCTCACGGGGGGCTTCTACCGAAGATTCGGGAGACGGCTCGATGAAGGAATAACGGACAGTCAAAAACCGCCTTCTCGTACCTGACCGGAGTCGAGGGCCCGTTATTAGCCGTTAGAAAGGAAACCCGTTCAGAGGTGAATTGTGCGGGCGTAGGTATCGCTAAAAATTACCTGGCAGGACTCCTTTCCCGCCACGTTCTCCCTTTTCGTTCTGTACGCACGTCTACGGACGTCTTGTATAACGTCATCCGCATTTATTCTATTGCCAGATCGCTCTTTCTTAACGATACCTTCAAGACAAATGTGCTTCAAAAGCTTGTCATCCCTTTCATTCCATTTTCGCGGTTTTTGGTCTCCACGTATTAGCTCTCGCTCGTTTTATGACATAGTACTCACATACATTCTCGGAATCATTCCTTATTATTAAGACTTCTAATTGAAGGATTGTGAACCTCAGTAAGCGGATTTCGCAAATTTTTCACAGTCTTGTATTCGGCTTCGCGATCGGCGATAACCTCCAGTTGCTGCTTGAAGCGAAGAGAAATCGTGAACACGAGATTAAGGAGGAATCGAATTGGAACGTCGCGGCACACGCGATGCGTAGAGAAAAGTGGCGGCGGGGATTAGGTGGGTCAACTTCGGTGCAGAAACATGTGTTATAATAAGCACCGGCCGAATAAGCTCGTTTAACGTTCTTACCGATGTTTTGCCCGTCGCTAGTTATTTTTTATACATCCCTTGGACAGTTGCAAATCGCGCGCATACTTAGCGCGGTCTCGCAGTTCGCAGAGTCGCGAGAGCGCGAACGGATCGTATGCGGTTCGTATACGCGTTGTAGGTTCCTTGGTAGGAGGTTGAAGTCGCGAGGTGGCGGAGGGAGTGGTAACACCTGGAATGTATGTAAGGTAAACGGCATCTGGGCAATGCCCTCGCATGTAAACAATCAGAAATTGCAGGCTTGATTACGCGAGCAAGCTGTTTCCCGCGCGTACTAATATGTGTATACATTCGAAGAATCGATCACGTTTGCGTGCACGCGTGCTCACTGTCCGTAACAGTTATAGTAGTACGAGTACTCGAGAATGTGCCAGCATACCAGTTCCCTGTTCCGCCTGTCTCGTTGTCCCGTCCAAAAGTTTACCAATTAATTCACCGAACCTAAAGACAATAAATCGGCTTGTATTATCGTATCAGAAAATAGTGGCTCTCTTGGAGAAGATACGCGAATAGATCGTGTTCCATCGTCAAATCGTAATTGGATCAAGTTATGGACCTGAGAATGTTTTATTTGTTTCTCGTTCGCTGCATCTCCAGTGTGTAGGAAAACATTTATCTGCTTTGCATAACTCGACGGCATCATTCTTGTTCACCGAGGAAAGGAGGAAAATACTCGACCGCATTTCATAATTATGATGTAAAGTTAATGTACGAGGTGGAACTATACGAGGAAACGACCGGTCATTGATATTATACGCAACGCATGGCAAAGTTTTCGAAGGTCGAGCATTTATCTCGGAACACGCGCAACGCTTAGCCGTATCAACCCTGGCTAAGTCGATTGCACCGGTCTTTCGGTTTCAGAGAAACATTATCTGTTATTGGCCTGCCGTATTAATCGGTGAATCGTTTTCCTTTCGTCCCCAGCCGCGACTGATCCGAGTTCGATGTACGCTTTCGATAGTTGGTTCTCGTTACGCGGTATCGCTTGTTGCCCGCTGCTCGTGCATTCTCGCACGAACGCACGAGTTTTATCGAAATTCACCAATTTAACAGTATATTAACTTTTGATTGCGGCATTCCGTTACCGGTACAGAATAACAGCGACGTAAGAATAGTCGTGAACAAGCTGATAAACCTGGCGACGCGGAGATCGGGTGTTCGCCACTCGATTCTCATAGACGATTCGAATTTTGCCGAGTTTCGTCTAACCGGCAACCGAATCGCAAGCGATGGTTTCATCACTGATTCACACGATCTACGCTCGTTTTGAAAGCGCATTAGCAGAATGAAATATCGTATAACTTGTTGCCAATCGGAACGCGTTAGATGATACATTCGTGTATAGTAGATATTGTACATACAACATTTTATAGTAAAGACGTCGCCATATTTAGAGAGATTTATGAGGTGAATGATTCTTTTCAACAAGAAGAGATTAAAGTTACACTTTCTTACAGGATAGGATTTAACTGGGAAAATAAGTTATCAGCGGTTTTCTCAACGAAATCGAAACTTTTAACCTTGCGATTACGGACGATAAATCGATTATTTTGCTAACTGTGGCGGCCGTCTGGTGGGAGTTATATTTTTATCGTTTGTTCAACGAGACGAAACAAGATAAGACCATGAGATTTCCTTCTTTTCGAGAACCTTACATGTCCAGAAGAACGTGCACCTTTTCGCCGGCAAAAGGGATCGATTTCTGGTATCGTCCCTGGTGAAAACCGGACATGGCTATCGAGACAGAATACGAACTGGGTCAACGACCGAACCGTCGAAGAACCGCGACTGCTCACCGGTGGGTAGGTCTCTGTTAGTATACGTATGTATATATACGTTGTTGTGAAAAATGAGAATCGTTTAAACGCGAAAGCAATATGTCAGATCCGATGAAAATTGATCTGAATTATCATCACTCGTTTCACGCTTGTCTCTCGTAATTGAGATTTAGTACGAAAAAGTTGCGGACGAAAATTCTGTCGCGTCCCATGGTTTGTCTTTATTTCGCTCGAACAGTCAATGATCGATTAAGGCCGATGAAAGAAACGCCGAATCTTTGTCATCTCTTATCACGCTACAGCTTTAAGTATATTTGCATACAAGTTCTCAATACACACAAAGACTGCGTGTACTCGAAAAAAAGGAAACGAATAAAGAAATTTCGCTGTGGTTGCGTGCATCTTTTCAATTAATCTCCTTTTACCAGTATTTGCCATCCTTTCCAAATTTACAAAGAGTGTACACATCCGAAAATGAGAAGCAAAAAAAGGAGAGGCGACAGAGCGCAAGAATAGCTGACCCAAAGCGGATCCTTCGCGAGTAAAGAGGAGAGGCACCGTTGGGTTCGGTGATAGCAGGTTCCCCACCACGGGGTGACGGTTTCGAATCCCTGCAGGGGGCCCGAATACCCCCACTCCGAGTGGCGGGCCGCGGGACCTCGTGGTCTCCGACCAACGAGACCGTGGAACAAGGAGTCCGCCCTCGCACCCTCGACGGAAGTCGATCCACTACCCTGAAGGTAAGGCTCGTGCTCTACCCCCACCGTGTCCCGTGTCACGATAACTCGTTCAACGGACCCACCGTTCTTGCTCGACTCCTTCCGTTCCTTGGACGTTCGTCTCTTGCTCCTCTTTGTGACGCCCCACCATATTCAGGGACTGCCGGGGGCAATTGAGAGGCATCCGGGGGGCCATTTAGAGCCGCTGGGGGGCCGGTACTCGATGAGTCACTATATAAGACGGGCAAGGACAAGAAGGTGTATGTTAGTATACACTCAATCTTCCCGTGGCTCGCACGATTCACGAAGTAGCGAGCGCCGGTGAATTCGGTTGCGGCTGTGACCGACTTTTTTTTCTCTCTCTTTTATTCTCTTCTTCTTCCACCCTTATTATCCCCCGATCCTTTTCTTTTCTTTTCTTCCGTTTCGATTACCCTTCGATCATTCCTCCTGTCTGCCGCTCCTCAACATTTCGCTGGGCACCAATATTAACGAAAGATCTACGAATAGGTATATTCAGACACCCCAATCGAGCCGTTACTTCTATCTTATTTATCCCCTTGGTACGCGAGCATAAACAGGCGTCATTTATGTCGTCTGCGCGTGCACGTTTGCATTCTCGTCTATCGTTTAACTTTTTCCCCCGTTTGATTTGTGTTACGCGAATCTTAGCCTTTAGAATCGTTCCGCTCTGATCCACTCCCTTTACCGCCTATTTTTATCGCATTTTATCGATCGTTACACAATCTAAAAAAAAGTAAAGAAAAGTAACTTTGTCAAGGACTTCTCGACGAATCACACCGATCATTCTCCCTTTCCTTATTTTTCGCACGCGTATTGCACACGCTCATCCTCTCCCTTCGCCCCTCTCCATTTCGTACGCATTCCCCTCCAGATTATGCCCCACCAGTTTGGTCAGATTTGATACTTAAAGCCGCGAATTTCGGAAGCATCGTTTCAAGTTGGAAAATTGTGTTCGCGCCGATACGAAACACGAACGTGCTCCTCGCCGAAAATCCGTACACGCGTACACGATACGTGACGTATTCTGACAGAGGAGAACCTAGAAAGCGAAAGGAAACGGCAAAAACCGAGAGCGAGGGTTAAGAGAAAGCAGACACGACGAAGAGAAAGGGCGGGAAAGAAGAGAAGAGGAAATAACAGCGAAAGGGCGTGCGGCATCGAAGAGATCGGACGTCGAAGAAAGAGAAGAGGGTAGCAACGGAAGTCCGAAGTCAAGACGGCGCGGACTAGAATCTCAACGCATACTACCGAAGCTGAAGGTAAAAGAAACGAAGAAAAGAAAAGAAAAAAGGAGACGAAGAATATATAGCATAAGAATTGAAATATTCGGAAGAGGACAAGGGAACCTTGTGGTTAACATTGCCGAATAGAGTATAGCACGATGCTGGTGGAACATGCGATGCATTGGGCCTGGCAAGCCATGGGTGGCACGAGGATCGAAGTCCTTTACACTCTCCTCGTGTTTCTCGGAGTGTTGTTGGTGACGAGGTGCTTGCAATGGCTTAGATACGTGCGGTCGCTGCCACCAGGTCCTTGGGGTGTACCCGTGTTTGGTTATCTGCCGTTCCTGAAAGGCGACGTTCACCTCCAGTACGGGGAACTCGCGAAAAAGTACGGTCCAATGTTCAGTGCCCGGCTAGGAACGCAACTCGTAGTTGTCCTTAGCGATCATCATACGATTCGCGACACGTTTCGCCGGGAAGAGTTTACTGGCAGGCCGCATACCGAGTTCATCAACATCCTCGGCGGATATGGTAAGCGTACATACCATACCACGTGACAATTGTCGTGCTCACTTTCCGATTACTAGTTCTATCTCGATTTTGCGCGTCCCAGTAGATTTTCTCAATCGTACGCTTTCCCATCGGTCCACACTTCTTTTCCGTTTTTGGTTTGGTTCTTATCTCGTTTTTATCATGTCTCACGCTTTCGCATGTACGCTCGGTCTTATCTTCTCAGACACATTGTGCAAAACGATTGAAATTATTCCTTTCTATATCAGTCTTATTCTCTCTCTCTCTTTTTCTTTTATTGAATTGGTTCCAAACTTTTTCCTTATTGATAAAATTTATTTATACAATTTCCTATATCACCGATTTTTTCGATTCCGTGATTATTCAGAATAAAGAAGTTATATAAAAGTTTTAGACAGACGATAACGAGACAACGCGGATTTAATCTCTTGAGTTATTCTCAATTTCGTGAAACGCCTAGTTCTTTTCACTGACGCTGGAAGCTCAAAAGCTGTTTTCTTTCTGTTCCGTAGGTATTATCAACACTGAGGGTGCTATGTGGAAAGACCAAAGAAAATTTCTTCACGATAAGCTCCGAAGCTTCGGCATGACCTATATGGGCGGCGGGAAGAAAATTATGGAATCGAGAATAATGGTGAGCCTCGTTTATTTAAATCTCTTTTCTCAGTCTCTCAAGGTATTCTCACATTATTGTACGCGTAATGTACATGCATGACTTTCGATGTACTCACCGCCGCGTTATCGTGGCTCCAGTTTATTATTGCGACAAGAAAGAGAGAGAAAGTGTGATGAATGAAGGAGGAAGACGGCTGAATGAAATCGTAATTCGATTTGTAGCGCGAAGTCAAGACGTTCCTTTCTGGACTGGCGTCGAAACGCGGCACGCCGACCAGCGTTTCTGCCTCCCTAGGAATGTCGATCAGCAACGTGATCTGTTCGATCATAATGGGAGTGCGCTTCCAACACGGTGACACCAGGTTCAAGCGATTCATGGACTTGATCGAAGAGGGCTTCAGACTGTTTGGCAGCATGGCCGCCGTCAACTTTATCCCTGTGATGCGCTACTTGCCGTGTCTGCAAAAGGTGCGGAATAAAATATCGGAGAATCGAGCGGAGATGAGCGATTTCTTTCAAGAGGCGGTCGATCAGCATCGGGCGACGTTCAACAGAACCACCGTCCGAGACCTCGTCGACGCGTATTTGCTCGAGATCGAAAAAGCGAAGGGAGAAGGTCGTGCCACTACACTTTTCCAAGGAAAGAATCATGGTAAGTGTTCAGCTTCAAACATATCCGATGGAAATTGAATAAAATGTATGAGTTCTAGATTTATTTAAATTCTTTTCTCCATTGCAGATCGTCAGATGCAACAAATCCTCGGCGATTTGTTCTCCGCTGGAATGGAAACGGTTAAAACCACGTTGGAGTGGGCTATTATCTTGATGCTCCACCATCCGGAAGCAGCGAATGCCGTACAGGAAGAACTGGATCAAGTAGTGGGTAAATCGAGGATGCCTGGATTAGAGGATCTACCTTTCCTTCCGATCACCGAGGCGACCATACTCGAGGTTCTTCGCAGATCGAGCATAGTACCCTTAGGAACTACGCACGCAACTACACGGTAATTATACAAACTTTGAAATCTCAGAAGCGATGACGGGCCACTGTTTTTTTCATTTATTAAAGAGATTACCAGAAACGCGTAGTGTTTTTGATAAAAAGAATACGGAGTAGGTAAAGTTAATCAGGCAGACTTAACCCGAGCCGGAGGGAGATAAGCGCGGTAAAGTAAGAGATAGTATTAAACGCGTGGAGAGAGTACGCGGCGCGAGGGGGGAAGGGATTGGCGAGGCGGAAGGAAGCTAGAATCGGTATCACGGGAGACCTTGCGAATGTTTCAGAGACGTGACGTTGCACGGTTACACGATCCCGGCTGGATCCCAGGTGGTGCCGCTGCTACACGCGGTCCATATGGATCCGGAGCTGTGGGAGGCGCCCGAGGAGTTCCGGCCGAGTCGGTTCCTCTCGGCCGAAGGTAAAGTCCAGAAACCGGAATACTTTATGCCATTCGGCGTCGGCAGGCGCATGTGTCTGGGCGACGTGCTCGCGCGCATGGAGTTATTCCTGTTCTTCAGCTCGTTGATGCACACGTTCGAGGTTCGATCGCCCCAGGGTTCGTCCTTGCCGAGCTTGCGCGGTAATGCCGGCGTGACCGTAACGCCCGATCCCTTTGACGTTTGCCTGTTGCCGAGAAATTTGGATCTCATCGAGGATACCAGCAGCGACGTGATCTCTCCCGGTGCCATTCTACGGAATATCGGCAGTAATTGAAACGCGCGCGGTTTTCTCTTTAACAGCTCCAAAAAATTATCAATGGAGCACGGTAGTCGTTCCTGACGCGAGCGACCCGACCCAATCCGACCCGACCTATCGTACCTTGATCCGATCCAATCCCGCGACTCTGTTGAGTTACAGGCCAAACATTCCATCAGTCGAATGCAATGCTCCCTGGTGTAATCGTTTAATTTCTTTATCGTATGCATGTGTATGCTCGTGACGTGTGTATGTGTATAGGAGCGTGAGCAATCTTTTTTTTTATACTTCACACCATTGCGATTATCAGCCAAATCCATCACTTCATTCCTTATTTATTCGCAGTTAGTCATTAGCGTTAAATGTATGTTGGATCGAACATATGTAATGTGGTATGGTTGGATGGTTTGGGACGTTTGCGTCTGTATTCCGAATTCGTCCTATACGAATATGATACGCTGACAACGATCATTCGGGTTGTTAGAAGCAACGCAGTCTCAGACGCGACAAGAGACAAAAGACTTGTAGATAGTGGTAATAACGAGAACAATATTAGTAGTAATAGTATTAGAGGTAAGTAGCAGTAGCAATAGGAAATAGAGAAAAAATAATTAGAATCGATGTAGTAACGATAGTAACGACAATAACGAAGTAACAACGACAATATCGATGATAGCGATAATATTGGTAACCGGTAGAAAATAAGAGAAATAATGAACGAGCTCACGTGGAAGGACATACGTGAAAGAGAAGAAAACAGAGAAACCGAGAATAATGATGTGAGCACACGGTTGATTCGATGATTGTGCCGAGTGCCGAAAATTCGTGGCGGTTGAGGAGAGCGCGCGCGAGGTTCGTGTCCCCCCTAGTGTCTCTCTTTTCCCTTATCGTTCGAAAGTATCCGACGCGACCAGATTCGAATGGATTAGATCGTTAGGGCCTTCTCTGCGCGTTGGATGAGCGCAGCCGTTGACCTAGAACAGTGATTTTCGTGAAAGTTAGAACAAGGCTCTTGCGACATCGCATGGTAGCAGCGCACACAGTGTATGTAAATATGTCCGTATGTATGTATGTATAGTTACGTATAGCGTTTCAGAATTCAAGACCGGCAACGAACTCGATCCGTTTTGGGCGCGGGCAAAGATTAAGGCTGTGAATTTCGAATTTAGGACATGGGACTCTCCGACGAGATCCCTGTGATATCGCGATCGTAAAATCATTTCCAAAGATTTTTTTTTCATCGTCGTGTGTCCGGCGAAAGCCGACGGGGCGGCGACGCGTGTTCTCCGTTTTCTTTCGCTCCCGCCATGTCACCGCCCGTTTGTACCGTCACCGCGCGCCGCGCGCCGTGCATGCGTGCGTTCCTTTTGCGTACGGCGAGCCTTTATGCAACGCAGAGATCACCGCGTCGATGCCTCGTTTGTATTCACCAGTAATGAAATTTGCATGTGGCATGCTCGAATAGCGGAGCACCGCATTGTGTTCACCAGCGAATCTGTGTTATTTAATGTTAATCTTCTTTTCTAACGATCATTAAACAGAAACCATGGTTGTACTTTAATTTTGTATATCGCTTTAATTGGAAAATGCGCGTGCGCTTTGTCTCGCACGGAACAAATCGACCGATTTTTTCGTTTCGTTTCATTACAGTTAACAGAAATAAACTGCCGTACATGTATGCACGCGATTCGTTATACGACGAGTCACACTATTCTTGATGAAAACGAACATTACGATTGTACTCGTGGTTCTTCGTAAGTTTGAAATTATATGTTTCATTTCCACCTACAATTTCTCAAATTTTTACATTCCTCTTCCCTGTTTGTCATTTAACGATGAAAAATGTACTGCAGAAGGTACGAAATTGTGCCATGCGGTACCTACGTGTTTCTGAGAAGAGAAAGAAGAGTCAGAAAAGAAAAACGGTGCATGACTTCCGTGTGTCGTAAAGATTTTAACGAGTGCACGATTGTAAAGAATGGAAGAGGGGGAGAAAGAACAACGGGCGAAAGCTGGGTTTCGGGATGAACGGGCGACATAGTTTGATCAAGAATAAACAACAGCTATTTAAGAAGGAAGACAAAGAGATAGAAATCGAAGCGGCAGCGGCGGCGAGAAATCGAAGAGAGAGGACAAGCGGGTAGGAAGAGGAAGACAGAGAGAGAGGGAGAGAGAGAGAGAGAGGGGGGGAATGAAAGGGCCATCGTTTATCTCGTTCGTTTGGACGAAAACTTTCTAAACGGATGATCGAACGATTCGAGCTGACCAGGTGAGGTATTAAAAATGTTTATTGCTGTCGAATGTATGAACGTGAAAAAGTGAGCGATGCTGGTCATCGACGCCGCGGAATGAACGCCAAGCGATGCGGCTTCGGGACGAGCGTGATACCACACTCGCCTTCGAGGTCGACAGTTTCACCCGCTGGTACGGATACAATGAACGCTCGTAGTAGCCTCCCGGCGAACAGAAACAATATCATTCTAGCGAGTTCCTCTCCGACGCAGACGCGTTTACCTTTGAATATAAAAAAAAAAAATAAAGATCTAAGAGTATTGTATCGTCAATTGAAATGATCAAATTGCATTTTCATTATATTTTGGCCGAAGAACACATCGTCGTTTGCGGTCAACAGCGACAGAAGATATGTATGTGCAGCCAAAATGCAGTAAGTTAATGTTAGTACCTTTGTTCTATATGAATGAAAATTAAGAAGATAACATGAGAGAAAGAAGGAAAATTTGAAGTCAATTACCATTTTGAAACGGGAGAAATGGTTCTGGTTTGAAGAAGCTCCCATCCTCAGCCAGGAATCGGTCGGGTCGAAATTCGAAAGGATCCTGCCAGTAAGCAGGGTCGGTGTGAATGGTCCATTGCATCGGTACGATCATGGCACCGCGCGGCACATCGTAACCGGCTATTTTCGTGTCCTGGGCAAACAGAATTCAATCGGATTCTTAATTATTATCACTTACTGCCCGATCAATTGCTTCTTCGATCATTAATTACGATTGTATGCACGCACCTCTGATGTTCCGCGAGGAAAGCCGAGCGGTGTAACGCTTCTTATACGTTGCACTTCGGCTATGGTGGCTTCGAGACGCGGCATGACAGTTCTATCGTTCAAAGTAGGCTGTTCACCATCTTTCAAGCACCGATCCATTTCCAATTGTACCTTTTCCTACAGATTGTTATCGAGAATTGATCTGAATTTTTTTGACGCATTTGTGATATGTGGAGGCAAAGAAACAAGCTTCGTTTATACCTGTTCCATAGGATAGGCAGCCATGAATAAAAGGAACCAACGGAAGGTAGCTAACGTGGTGTCGACTCCAGCACCGAAAAGATCCGCTAGTAAATGATAAAGCTGAGGTTCCGTGTAATATTCAGACTCTGACCCGTTCCTTTTTCTCATTTGTTCGACGAACGCCGCTAAAAAGCTCTCGGGAGTGTCTTCATCCTCCGAAGTTTGCGCGAGTCGTGCTCGGTGCTCTTCAAGTATACCGCGATATACCACGTGCGTTTTCTCTTTTCCATCGACGATGGATCGCATCGTTCGCCCGAAGTGCGGTAAAAATCTGGCGAACAAATTCCGTCGAATATTCATGAAAAATAAACGTGGTCAGATATAACGTGCATGTACCTGAGAAAAGGTAAAAAGTTGAGCGGCCCAGCTACACCTATCTCCTTCACACCTTCCTCCTGCAAATGTCTCAGCCATTTCCAAACTTCATCATCTTCCTCGTAAGTCTTGCCAAACACAATGGCATTGATAAAATTTCCCATACAATGATGAAGCGTGTTCAGAGGATCGATCGACCCGTTAGCAGCATATTTGTTCAACATCTATCAGAGAATCACTATTGAAATACAAATACGCTACTAAAAAGAAGTCTGTGTGAGCTGAAATGACATATACCGATACACATTCTTCAGCAGCATTCGATAGTTTCTTTTCCAGTCCTTCTCGTCTGATTCCATCGTACTTTACCATTCCAAAGTTTCGTAAACAGTTACTGACAAATTTTCTTTGATCTTTCCATCGGTCACCCTCAGCGCAAACGATACCTGGACACACAGTGAAACTACCAATTTCCTGTTTCGCATTTTCGAGTCCTAAATTCCAATTCGCATTGCAATTTATTTTGGTCAGTTTCCATTTTGATTGGCGTTAATTAAGCATCGTCGTATTCGTGAAAGGATATTCCAGTAGTCGTTCAGTAAATAGGCGCAGCCGTTGAACTCGGCGAAGGATAATCATCGAGTGCATAATTAATCTCTTACCGCACCCAATCCGACTCCCTCCTCTCCGACTTTTTGCAGACATCGTCATTCCCGGCTTTTAGGGGGAGAGACGTTGTCCGAGGCGTGTAACGAGCCGAGGGAACGAACAACGTATTTGCAATACAAATTCGAGGAGTGCAATAAATAAATTGACATATCTACCAGAAGGTAATGCGTTTAAGCGCGAGCGAACATTTCAGGGTCGGTCATTCCACTACGCGATGAGCAATTGTAGAAATATGCTCGAACAGATATTGCGGACTCGAGATTAATCGCTTTTATGTCATTTTAGCATTTCTGTACCACGGTTCTGCTGGCTGTTAACCTTTGAATGAGTCGTATCGTATCGTTTATCAATGATGTTATCGAGGATTTGTTTAAAAAAAAAATTCATGCATCTACTAAGCATCGAACTTGTCTCCAATGCAAATTTCCCCCACTTTTGTCCCGCTTTTACCCTGACACCACCATCACCACAACCACCATCGTCACCACCCATCGTTCTGTCTCTGTCTACCGGTCTGTAAGCTAGAAAGGCCATCGGAACGTCCTTGCCGCGTTAACTGTAATTTCTCGTTGATGCAGCGCAAAAATAACGACGATCGGGGAAATTTTCTTCAAGGGAGTCGAACCCATAACACGAAAGCGAGAGTCGTTCGAAGATAGAGAGCATCGTACTCTCAAGGAAGAAGCAAGATACACGAGAAAAAAAGAAACGCACGAACTGAAACCTTTCCCTACTATCATGTACCAACAATTTCGATTATCAAATTAAATACTTATGTTTAATTTTATCTAAAAATCCTTCTTTAAAATTATTTAACATTTTATTGTTGAAATTGATTTTTTTTATTTCTTTCGTCTAACGTTTAATGTTAAAAAAGGGGGTGTAAATTTCAAAATAAAAGAGCACGTATATAATAATCTTACCGTATCCTTGCATTATTCCGTGTGTAAGATACAAAGGTGCCCTGGAGGTGCACGCATCCTTCGCAAACGCCTGTCTTATTATTTGCGGATCCGATAGTAGAACAGTGTACACAGAACCCATGCGAATTCCGCAGACAGGGCCGTAAGTTCTACTTAATTTCGTAAGGGATTCGTGCGGTTTCGCTGGGTCGATCCATGGAAGGTAACCGACGATCGGAAGTTGCCAAGGACCGGGCGGCAGGCGTTGCACTTTTCGAGTTTTATAAAAAATGTAAGCGAGAAGAGAGACGAATAAAAAGAGTATCGTGTAAAATAAACTCATCGCGAGTTCTTGTCATTCGATGCTGCCCAACGTATTATTCTCGAGGTTTTCTGCAACAATGAAAATACAAGGAATAAACAAATGTGATATAATATAGTACTTACTGTTAGACAAAGAGAAGAAAGGACGTGATATTTCGAAAGTTATTTATCTGTAAATAATACGAGAACAGTCAAGGCGTCGGGAGAGACCAAGAACTCACCGCTCGCGCTGCTAGAAAATATCGACCAACCCCAACGACAACGATCGAGCAACTATCGAGACTTTCTGTAAGACGGCCTACGATTCGACGATGATTATCGCCCTCATTGTCTACCCAAATCGAGTTTGACAAAAATAAGAAAGAACGGATACAGCCAGTTTGTTTGACTATCAGTCGAGCGATTTAAAATTGTAATAAACCACTACACGAGTGAAATGTAGTCTGCGAGCAATGCTTATTTGGTTTTCGCTTATTCCGATTTTAAACGCACTGACGATAACTGTATTAAATGAAACGAAGTGAAAATTGTAGCGATGCAAGTACGCCCATTACGATTTATTTTAGTTCCTAATTTTTCTAAATTCAGCCGACAAGGCATAACAAAATTATAGTTACCAAGGTCCTCACTCAGTTCACTATAATGTTCAACTTTTCAAATATCTCCTATAGCGATGCGAACATCGACTTCGAGTGCATGCTTCTGCACGAATCGAAGTGACTAAAGTTATATAGCACGCAGAACTTGCTGACGTGGATACCTGCGCTCTCGAGTTCGTCTCTTGTCTTTCGTGGGACAGTACCTGGTCGAATTTTTTCGACTTCGGTACACCTCCGTCGGTTCCAAGCCCTTCCCGACCTCCTTTACTATGTTCGAATATTTTTGGCCTAACCCGGACCTTTCTGACAAAAGTAGGCAGGTAGGAACGTGCCTCCAGGGAGGTAGGAGAGAAAGATCCGCATCTATTTATAGAATACGTGTTTTTTTTTGTCTTTCTGTCTGCCTTTCGTCGGAGATCGTCAGTGACGTCGACGTCGCTTCCTTTTTATATCTTCGATCAGCAAAATTTGCCTAAATCCTGCATTACTTACCCGTCCGATGCCAGCTTACATTCGGCTTGTTTTTACAGCACCTCCTCGCGATATTCAAATATGAACCGTTTGCATAAAAGTCGATGAGCATACGTATGAAAGTTTGAAGGAAGTGGCAAAAATAGTAAGAATCATTTGAAAATTAGTGCGAGCGTCTGGAAACGCGCACTGCCAGAAGCACACGCATTTGGGAGCGTGAATGGGAATTGAAAAATACCGTAACAGCAAACTGTGAATGTGATTGCAATCGAAATGATGGAAAAGGCGAAAGCGAAAGCGAAAGCGAACAGCAGAGTCTCGAACGGGGATTGAAAAAAATTCGAGGGACCATCACAAAGTGGATTTTTACTCGTTGACGGGTTCGCCTTTTCGGTGGCGTAAGTCATTGGTCTGTTCGCGTGCGGTTTACGCGGTTCTCGTTGCGTTGATGAGAACTGATAAATATTCACTTTCGACGCAGACACGTCGTCGTGTCGTTATCGTCGCAGGCATCGGGTACACTATAAGTGGCAATGAACGTGCCTCGGACGTATCCCTTGGGACGTGCAACGACCGAGAAAGGTCATTCGCAACGGGCTGAATCCGCGTAACTGCGGTTCTGGCATTTGCAGCTCTGCTGACTCGTTACGTTTATCTCGTTTCATTTTCTCCCGATAACTTGGACAAATAGCATAGGCGGGGAGAAAAACGCGACGTCGGAAGGACGAGATTTTTGCCGTTCGTATTCAGAGGTTTTGAAAATTTCTCGTCTCGTTCTCTCCTGGACGGCGCGCGAGCGGCTGCGTGTGAATGAACTTCGCTAGAATGTAGTGGATTCGCGGGTACCATGCAGACCGATCAATTTTTCAATGCATCTGATTATTTTTGGTCGCGAGTTAAGGACGACTACTCTCGAGTTCGATGAAACTGAATTTTTCTCCAAGGACCGTCGGGCTGGTGAAACACGAACTGTCGGCCGGCCGGTGACGGTAGCTTTTTGTCAGTTCTCTTTCAAGGGTATAATGAACTCTATGGTGATCGTCGATCCTCACGGACAAACGATGCAACTTTTCTTCGAGATTCTTCCCCTCTCTCACGGATACCCTTTCCAATATTGTGTTGCTCCCGACAGTTGGCCAATTCGTGCGCGCGCGCTTTCTTCTTTTATTATATTTATTTTCAATAGCCGCTTTATCGTTCGGTAGAAGTCGAATACGGAATTTTTAAAGTGGACATTATGGACGACGATGGCCATTTTTAGAAGGCAGTTAATGGCGGAGCAAGATGCAGGATCAGGCGCATAGGTACCTGGCCTATCTACCTGCTTCCTCTAATTCTTGCGGTAAGCAGGTAGAACGGGGGTAACGATCGGCTGGGGTCATTGGCTGGATCCAGTTATCAAGGTTAGGGTCCCTTTCTTTGCTCGCGAGAGATCATCGTTTCTCCTCGATAAATTTCTCGAGTTTATTTATGCGCCTGCGAACCGCCGCGTCATCATGCGACGTATCGTGTCGAGACCTTCCAACGCCTTTACCATTAAACCTTTATTTTTAAATAGTTACCCACCCAAATCACCAACGACGAACAGTAAATTCGGTAGGTAGGCATGTACAGAACGTACCCATGTACCGCTCGCTGAAACCATGTTATCCTTTTCATCGCTGATTTTAATAAAAATGGAGATGGTGGATTTACTTGCAGGAATCTCTTCTTATTTTTCTGCTGGTTTGTATGAGATTGTGCGCGTGGTGGATAGCCGATCGACTGCTCCTTGCCATGCCCTGCCGGCGTGCCCGCCGATCTTTCTGTTGCGAGAGCCGCTCGCACGAGAATTCGCAGATTCGGCAGTTGAACCAAACGTGGTCGCGCGGCCGACGACCGCGACTTTCTCCTCTTATGCTAATTTCGTTAATACGCTATTTTCACGACTTTCGTACTTCGCAGGCATGCCAGTTTACCGTTCGGTTGCAGGACAGCGGCCGACGAACCGAAAGAAATATTTTTGGCGAGAGGAGGTAATTAAGAAACAGTTCGGTGGCTGGTACTATTACATAAAGTTTCGCTACCCCGTCTTCGCGTTCGGCCATTGCAGAACGTTCGACAAATTCGAACGATCGCTACGAGCGTTAACATTTGCGACATTCGCCGACTGAAAATTTGCCGAACGACAAATTATAATTTAGTGGAAACGAAATTTCGAAAGTGGAAATTATTGATGGGTGACAGACGTCGGAGAATTTAGGAAAGTTCCGTCCTCTAACACCTCTCAATTAGGGTGACGTGCTCATCTTCGCTTTAATTATTTAATCGTATCATTTTGTTGCTTTATATATTTAAAATTTACTAAAAATTTTGATTTTGTAAAGTCTGTCGAAATATATATTTAGAAAATTCTGCTTTTTATACAATATTATCTTGTGGCATTGGTTGTAATATTCTATGGTATCACCGATACGGTTCCATAAGCTGTCGAATGAAATTAAATGGGAACGAAGTTTTTTAATCGAATTCGGCATAGTTAAAATGCGAATAAATGTTGGAGCGAATGACACTACGGTCGTGGTACGGTACGAGAGTACAGAGTTCGTTGCCCCATAAAAGAAGGTGGGTGTATTGGCCCCGACTGGCGTTTCTGGGTTTATTACCTCAGTTCGATCGCAAACTGCCGGCCGAGTCTACGCTTCGTAAAACCATTTGTATCATTTTGACCGGTGATAGCCAGTAGAAAAATATAGTAAAAAAAGGAAGGGAAAAAAAAAATTATGGAACGCACACCTTTCGAAATTTCACCTCGGTGTAATACATCGTTTGGATGGATTTTAATGACTTTTTTTAAACCCATCGGGCGCTATAATATTTCTAACAGACTCGCATACTTGCCTTTAACGTCTTTTATATACTTTCTCTTTAATTCCCTTTAAACCTCGCAGTGTCCTTACATGCATACTTGCCATGTACTTTTCCTTCTTTTTGTTCGTTTAACTTTTTCTCTTTGATACTTTCACGATGACAATGTTGAACTCAGAAATAAAAGGGAGCACGGAGTCCCTCAATTGTCATATATTATTCGGAGTTAATAAGCGATCGATTCTTTACGCGTTTACCTAAATTGCACACTGATGCTGAGTGTCTTCGAATCGAATAACGAGGATTTTAAAGAACAACGGGTGAATATAGCGATCGGGGTACAGACATAAGACCAATCATTAGGATATGATCGCGGCCTGATAAGAATAAGTATGACATGTGTGCTGACAGCGATGATGATAGCGGTAGCAATAGACGATGACGGCGATAATAGCGGTAGCGGTGTCGCTTCTGGTCTCGGAGAGCCAGTGTGTTCGTAAGCATCGCTATGCGGTACAAAACTTCTTTTAGTGGGGATGGAGGACACTTTCACTCTCACAGGTGTATGACCGAGTCGAGAGCTCGGAAATACTTGTTACCTGAACGGGTATCGTTGAGAAAAGGGGAGAGGATTGGAGAATGGCGGATGGTGGGGCCTGGAGGGACCACGATGATGCAGGAGAAAGAGGAGAAACGTAAAGGATGTAGCGGAGAGAGATAGAGCAGATGGCAGTCTCCTCATCGGGGTTCCTACGAACCCTTCGTCTCCGCAAAAAGAGAAGAGGGAAGAACGAAGAGGGGGTGGAAGATAGGATCGTTGAACGGAAGTTAAGGAATGAAAGGACACAAAAACGAGAATGGAATGGAAATGAAATATGTAGAAAAGAATTTATAGGTCGTAAAGACATAGGGTATCGTTACGCGTGCTCCGCTAGATAACGGCCCGATGGCCACGTGCTTGCACGTAGCAGTCGACATGCATCATCTTTTTTTTCTTCCACCCATTTTATATTCGTTATCGCGAAGATAGTTTTTTGTTTCAATGACGATAACGACAGGGGAACGAGGCGAGAAGTAGCGGGAAACAGGTGGAGATAAAGGGAAAAGGCAGAAAGAAGAAGTGGACGGATACGCGAGTGGTGGGAATGACGAGGATAACAAGAAAAAGAAGAGGATAGAGCGCGAAGAGGCTGGACGAGGTCAGTGAACTGCGAAAGAGTATGGTTTTTTGGTCAGTGTACGCACTACCGAAATACGTACCTGACGGGACCGACCCCGCCGATATTTCCAAGCGGTCCCAGTGGGTCAGTGGTTCATGAAGGACCGACATAGTATGTCTCTCGAGGATCCATTCGAGTAGAGAGAGTGGATAACGATTTTTTTTCGGAGTATGTTTACTCGCGTTTAATTAAAAGCCATCGATCAATTTATCATTAAGAAAAAACCTTATCAAATTATTTATACAGATAAACATTTTACAATCGTTGAATCTTTTTCAAGCGTTTGTTCATGCTTAGATTTCTTGCCTCGGCGAAGATGTCTTTATGCTTTGCATGCAATGTAACGTTACAAGCACTTGTAATGTGAAAGTTACATATTTGTATACGTATAAGGATAGATTTGTACACACATGAGTGTATTATGTAAAGAATCAAAACCAGCGGATATGCGACCAAATCCTATCACGGTTCTGAACGTTAGACGCCGCATAGATACGCTCGTAAAACGCGTGCTTTCTGTAACAAATGCGAAAGAGCCATTCTGCTCGCTTGCGGTTCCAAGAAATCCGGTTAGAATTTAGGCTACGTGGAGTTCCTACTTGAATCTGGAACAGGCTGGTCATTGACCTTGCTTCGATCGTTCTTTGAGAAGATTTTCAGGTGTGATTACAAGTTTGCCAGTGATTGTCGTCGACACGCGACACTCGTGTCCTCTTCTTTCCACGCGCTTTTCACGATTCGAAAGCGTTAAATACGTAAAAATACCCTTTCGAACGGCAATGAACGCGACGTTGCAGACCTCCAGACAAATTTCTTCGAAAATGTCAGATAAAAATATCATCCGTCACGGACGTAACAAGGATTTATCGCCGGTCGGGGCACGGTAGTAACGTAGATCAATGGACATCGCGAATTTCGCAAAGGTTGCTGCTATATGGCACATATCTTCTTTTGTCTTGAAATAAATATACGCAGGTGGCTGTAAAAGGGTTTCAAGTGGGGATCGAAAGGTCAGCGAACAAGGATGTAGCAAGAGAGCACGAAATCAGGAGGGAAAGGCCCGAAACGAACGATTCCCAGATGATATGTCCATGTACCGAATTACATGACCAACTACCGAATCATTTCGGCCTACATTATACGATACTGATGATGATCCATCTCGGGTATTTAGACTATCGAGGATTTGGAGCCCATGCTACTGTTCACTACTAACATAAGAAAAAACTTTGGAACGCGCACCAAGCGTGCGTCGATACGTTTTTCGCTCTTTGCTTCCTTTTTATTTTGTTTATTATTATTTTAATATTGTTAAGTACGTCATCATTAGCGATGGCAATCCCTTCGAGAAAGTGTAACAGAGATAATTCGTAACTGTATACGGAAGTAGTCGGATAACGAGCCAAATTACTATTCTCTCCGCGATCTCGTTATCGTTTATCACTTTGCACCAGTTACATTATGTTAGAGAAAATTGAAAAAATTATATAACATGGAACAACAAGAGATAATCGTATTAAATGCATGTGCTGAGAATGATATGATATGATCATATGAAAAATACGAAAACGATAAATTCGATAAATTCAAGGAGTATCAATTAATCTCACTCGTCTTTATGTGAAGAGATAACATGTACTGACGGAAGCAGATTGCGCTTATCAAATACGACCAAGTTTTAGCAATTAATGTTTGATAAAGCACAATACATATACACAGGTGGGGCGGGAAGACTGCGGAATATAAAAATACGGTTCTGTCGTAAGTTCTTCAGTCTTCTACGGTATTAGCAACGATTTTTGGTTCTTATTATACAAAGATGTTTTACTTAATGGATTTTAAAATAGTGACAACGTTGCTAATCGTAGTAGTGGGAATCGGTGTTGATTCAAAAGCGATTGATAATTCAAATCAAATAATCGTTCCACCGGCGCCGAAACATCAAGGGATATTCTCTGACAGGCACGCGCATCAAACAATTGGTATAAATAAGTATTTGTTATGGTCAGAACAAATGTTAATTGTAATCGAGAAATGATGCATGCCTCGTTTCTATTTACCTTTGAACAGCGAATCAAATAAAATCATGGAAAGACACGGATGTACAGAATGTGTGGGAAATGAGCGGCTTGTTCGAGGGAGACATAATGCTCGACATTGAGGAAGAAGACGTTAAAAATGGATTGATAAACACCAAATACCGCTGGCCAGGCGGTGTTGTGCCCTATCACATAGAGGAAAGCGATTTCGGTAATTAATTGCGATATGTCGGCAATAATCGATTAGTAAACGACGCGCATAATTGTTGTTATCGTTATAGATGAAGCTGATATCAAGGTAATCAAAGGCGCTATGGAGGAATATCACCAAAATACGTGCATACGTTTCCGTCCTTATAATAAAACCGATATAGATTATATCACCATCGAAGGAAAAAATTCGGGCTGTTGGTCTTATGTCGGTAGACTCGGGAAGGGCCAAGTGGTGAATCTGCAAAATCCTGGCTGCGTGCGCCATGGCACTGTCGTTCACGAATTAATGCACGCGATAGGTTTTTATCATCAACAGAGTGCTGCCGATCGCGACGAATGGGTTACGATAAATTGGCAGAACATACAGTCCGGTAAAGAGCATAATTTTAATAAGTACGATGATCGTACTGTTACGGACTACGGGATCGGTTACGATTATACGAGCGTGATGCATTACAGCTCTCACGCGTTCTCCAAGAACAAGGAACCGACCATCACGCCGAAAGTAAGTGAACTGTTATTTTTCTGTTATTTCGTTTCTACGGACTTGATATTTGTACTGTGCAGAAGGACAACGTGGAAATTGGTCAACGTAAAGGACTCAGTGTTAAGGATCTGCTGAAAGTGGTAGCTATGTATAAAAACGTATGTAAGACTGCACAAGTGGACAGCACAGACGAATCGTCAGAAGATTTGTCTTTTACCATTGAGCTGAAAGGTGATTCGGCGTGAAGTTAATACGTACGGTTTACTGAATGAGTCTTAAAAAAATAAATAAAAAATGAACGCAAGATTTAATTTGCTTTGAGTTAAAAAATAATATTCATACTTGTTCGTACAAAAAAGAAATTATAAAATACGTAATGAAGAAAATACGTCAAACAAGAGGATATTGTTGATTGTAGTACATCAATTCCTTCAGTTCTTTGACTGCGTCTTCAGCAATCTGAAAGTATATATCATATGTACGCCTACTTGTATTTGTATTTGTAACGCACTGGCTCTGCGTTACTTACGAGCTTCACAGCCTGATCATCATCGTTCGTTAAGCCTTCAATAAAAGTTTTCAGAGACTTGCACCAAATCTGTTGCAAAGCTCTACAAGAAAACCTCCCCAACAGTCTAATCAAATTACAAGTTCTTGCTCTGAGCATCGGTTGTCGATGCGTAAGCAATTTACCAAGCTGTTCTTTTGAATCCCCTTTTTACAGCAAAATTGAATGTTGTTTTGCGAAGTAAAAAAAACAAAAAAAAAATAAAATTATTTCTCGTCAGTCAAAGGCCCCAATAGCTTGACTAACTTACCCGGTGAATCAGAGTGTAATACAACTTTTTCTACCAGATGAGCATTCTCGGGTTGGGACCGCAAAACATTGTTTAAAATCGCAATTAAGTCTGCAACGATGCGCGCCTTTCTCTTTTCCAAATTCAGTAACTGTTGCAATAACGAGACACCATTTACGATGAAAACGGCGTCGCAAAATTGAGTTAGAAATTGATCACGACTATAAATCAATCTACAAAGTACAAGCATCGTGTACTCTAAGGTTTGTAGCTCGTCCGCAGACAACGTGGACGCTGATTTTATGTCCGCGTTCATAGGTTCGGTTTTTTTATTAGCTTCGGGCTCTAATTGCTCAGACATCAGAAGTTTCAAGGAGTAAACGAGATTCGGCACAACCCGAACGTCCAAGTACACTTGCATGATTTTCTCGAGGGACTCCTTCGACGTGGACACAACGAACGGTAACGATAAAAGGCAGGCAACGTATTCGACAACGCGGCAACTGGCTGCTGGATTCCTTAACGGTGACACAAATACCGACACGCAGTTTTGTTGAAGCAACGATCCTACCTCGCCGTCCATAATCTCTTCCATAGATCGTTGTAAGAACGCTATCCACTCTTCGTTCTCGATCGGTCTGTCAATAGCTTTTGGATTCCAGTCGGGAATTCTGTTGCTACGCGACTGTCCAACATTCACCGAATCCTCTTTTCGAGAACGCGAGTGATTGTTCCTTTCGGAATTAACTGTTTCAGCTTCTCTGGCAACGACCTTTTGCACGGGACTCAACTCATTTTCACCGACACTTTTCAGCTCGACATTTTTCTCTGTTTCTTGTGGTTCTCGACGTTGCTTATGATTGTATTCGAACGTTAAATTCTCTTGCTTACTTGCCGAGTTCATGCCGTTTGGGCAATCGCTTTCACATAACGCATGGTCTGCCGAAAGCAAATCGCTTCTTAACGATGCCCTCAAACTGAGATTTCCTAAAAGTACATCGACGCTAGTGCTGGAATCAGTTCCGCTTGGCTCGCTGTGTCGTAGAGTGTAGCATTGATTGATTTCGTGCTGACAATAACCGTGCGCTATTGGATATCGAGGATGCGATATAAATGTTTTCAGTCGACGCTCCTCGATAGTCCTTTCATGTTCTTGTAGCTTCTTTATAGCCTTCTCTAAAAATCTGCATGATTACGAAATTTTTAGCCACTCGTTTACACCGAATCGTTTGTTTTAAAGTCGTATTTCAACGTAGCTACAGTTTACTGTTATTACGTTGTACGCGTCTACATATGACCTTAAAACAATCGACTCGATCCGGTCTGCAAACCGCATTATCTGCTTCGAAGCTTGAATAAGAGTATATATGTATACTTGGACTGATGATCAGTGGATTGCACTACCAAGTTTTGTAATTGTAATTGTTTCTCCCTAGCTTGACTCGCGGACAGTGGCGTGGTGAAAGGTGTCGGCCCAATTCCACCGACTATTACGATTCTATTCTTAACAAAAGGGTGATCTAAAAGAGCTGGCCAAGTCAGCCTTTGCGAGGGATCCTTTTGTAGCAACCCCTATTGATAAAATTAATCATGAATGATGAATGAACTAAAACGAAACCTTCCACTATTTGTAAATGTGCTATGACCTGTAAGAAATTCTTGCAATTTTGGGAAATGTAGTCCGGCCATTTTATTGCCTCAAATCTTATCAACCTGACTAAATGTAAAATGGAAGTAGTCTGAAAAGGTGGGGAGCCTACAACTAGCTCATACACTATACAACCAAGAGACCTGGAATCAAAATACTTTGTATACTCCAAATATACTAAGCTTTCCCAACTATTTACTGGCTGATGGGAAAACTAACACACCATAAATCTGCATTATGATCATAAGGCCTTTCCTCTATGAGTTCCGGAGCCATATACAATGGTGTACCCTTTATAGAAGTTAACACATGAGTCCCTGTACTCATACTGCGAGCAAATCCAAAATCACACAACTTAGCCACCCCATTGCTTTCGAGAAGCACGTTCTGTGGTTTAAGATCCCTGCAGCAGAAACAGTTTGTTACTCAAACTTGACAACACTTGCAAACAAATGAGAATATCCAACCTGTGCAATACTCTGTTGGAATGCAAGTAGTAGAGTGCAGAAACTAAATCACAGGCTATCACTTGTGCCCTTTGCTCAGACAAACGACCTGCTTTACCTAATATCTCATACAATTCCTTATCCGCGTATTCGGTGACAACGACTATCTAAAGAAAAGATTATCGAGGAAAATAGTATAATTTCGCATCGACTTCGAACGTTCTTAGAGGACATTAAGTACCTCGTTATCTGTTTCGAACGAATCAAGCATTTGCACTATGTTTGGATGATGAAGGTGACGTTGAATCTCGCATTCTTGCCGCAAGCTCTTCAACTCCTTCAACGATCTACCGCGCTACATGATCGATATCCGTTACATTTATCGATCCAACGAATGAGCGAAGATAAGTATAGATAAAAACAAGTGAACGCGCAACATTGAAATTTCGAAAGTGAATGCTTATTTGTAGTTTTACCTTTCTGATTACTTTGAATGCTACGATTTCACCATCAGATCTTTTCTTTGCTTTATACACTTGTCCGAAGGACCCCTCGCCCACTTGTCTTAGAACTTCGTACTTCTCCATAGCTTTCTGATGCATATATTATTATTAATCCTTTGAATACGTATGCTACAAATACATGGAGATGTAACGCTGAACGCGTAAAAGCCGATCCAAGTTGCCACAAGGTGACACTACTATGACCTTTCTCTGTTGGGGGGCGCGGCCCCGATGGTTCTAAGGGATGCGTATTGGGCTCGTAGTGCTTGTACTCCGGAATCCGGTGGTGTCCCGGGGTTCCGGGTTCGACGCTTGTCGACAACCACCAACAGCCACCCAGGCTGGCACTTTTGTAAGGCAAATTTCGTATGCTTCTTTATTATCATTACTTTGATGGCTCGGATTTCATCTTAAATCTAATTCAACTGAGACATCAAAATTGAGGAAGTAAGTTAGTCTGATTGGTGAAATGAATGAATATGCAACTGCAGAAAATATTTTATTCCCTTAGAAAATAAATTTATTTCTAGATAAAATTCATATTAATTTTTCCCTTTTATGTTTAATATATACATTGCTATGGTACGATTCCTCATAATCGTTAGACTTCACATGTTTTCTTTTATGGTGTGACCGCATAGATCCATGTTCACTTTTCCTGTCACGATGTTTACGTTCTCTTGAACGAGATCGTTTATGTTTATGGTGCTTCTGTGTCCTATGCGATTTGCTTGTACTTCTTGAAGACTTCTCTCGTTCTTCGGAATCTTTTTCAGAGCAATCATACGTTTTGTCAAATTCGTCATACTTTTCATTATTGTGAGAGCTAGAGCTTTCACGATGATCCAGTGAATCTTTTAACAAAAAATTTTAATTTCAATATCGACCAAATTCGCAACCAATACATTTCCATTAATATTTTTGCTTACTTGGTAAACGCGTATCCGTTACATAGTCTGTGTACAATTCCATTTGCTGATGTATGACTTCCCTAAGGATTTCAGTGTGAGATTTCTTATTTGTATGCACACCCCTGTGCTTAGCTCTTCTTCTTTTTAAATTACGTTCTTGTATAAGCACCTCTATGAAGGATAATTTTTTATCATCTTTATTACCATCGTTTTTACTGAAAAAAATATTGAGACGTGTATTATAAAATGCATGTGTAGTTGGGAAAAATAAACTCGTGGAAACTTACGATTGTTGTATATCTGTGATATCGTCATGACCAATATCTGGTTTCACCGTGTTTGATATGGCATAATCATATAAAACTCTTCTTTCATCGCATGTGAAATCTGTGAAGATTCTATTCGACGTTCTTGGAATTAATCGCTCACCCAAACCTATTATCAGTGTTAAGAATTCATGTTTTGTAAAAAAACTATACAATTTAACAACAAATTAAATAAGGAAACATAAAGAACATGTATTTTAAGGTATTCAAGTTCATGACAAGAAACATGAAAAAGGATATATAGAGCTTGTGCCAAGTAGGAGATTCATAACTTGCTGCAAAAAATTGAGTAATGTAAAACTTGTACGAACATACTTTGAATTCTCCTTTATACTTGTTTTATACTAACCAATTCGCAGAGTCGGATCTTTTTTCTTTTCTTCTTGCAGAATACCATTCTGTAGCTTCGAATCTGCAATTAAAGAATATACAATTTCAGCTCAATATCATCAGCTGCACATTCTATTTACAACGTCGCCTTTGTTCAAACTGGATACTTACTTAATCTTATCGAAGAATATGAATCTAATGGTAAACTAGATTCAGGCAGAGGTGTATCAAATTCACTGTAACCCTCTTGCTTCCATTGACAAGATTCCAGATGTTGATCTAATGTCTTCTTACCTACTTGGTGCGATGAATCGTATGGACAAACCAGTCTGTTATCACTCTATAGGAATAAATAGCAAATTAGTATTTTGCATGAAGATTTAGAATACATCAATAAACTTACTAAAATTTCTGTGTTTTCTATTGTCCACCCCAAAGTGGAAGTAATATCCATTAATTCTTGATGAATTTTCTTCGTGAAATTATCCAAATCTTTGTACTGCTTTTCACGTTGATTTATCGGAGGATTCGACATTGTGTTGTTGAAAATGACAAACTTATTGTCAACGATTTATTCACGTGAAATATTAATCCGTTTTCATTTACACAATGAGTACTTCCATAAATCCAAAGGACGGTGTTAAAGTTCTGTGGGATTGTAGTTGTAGCAAAAGCAAGCTGAAGTAAGCAAAAGGCAGCAAGGCTGGCTCATTGGGCACTGGTGGGCAGTTGGGCACATCGTGGGATTTTTAGGGCGTGCACACTGGAAGTTACTATAGTAACTTGCTACTATAGTAGCAGCCGAGTCAGCCGAGTGACGTACTTATTTGTTCAATTTCAAGGTTCCATTAGATCGCGAGTGCGAAGACACTTGGAATTAAAACTAATCTCGAAAATAAAATATTACGTTATCTGACTGCATGATATTTGAAATAATCATTTGGTTAGTGCACATGGAGGTACAAACAATTTTTCTCTATGTGATTCATTATTTAGAATTCATTCGAAATAATATTTCACCATATGGTCTATTTCACCAAATTATCTACACCACTGGTGATAGTGATGCCACCCATTATCCACGACCATTGAGCTATATAAAATAAAGATATTTTATATAGCTCAATGTCCACGACATTCACGTTATCCTCCTACCTATATGATCAAAAAAAGCCGGGCCGCTTGAATGTCTCGGGCTACTCGACGTACGTTCGTATCGTCATGTACGTTAGCGGCAAGTCCTTTTTAAGAACGATTGCACGTGTCGGGGTCAACACGTAAGGAATGTACAGCTTAATTTTTAAGAGCCGCCGATATTCGAAACAAGAAGCGCCAAGAGTTTTGGCGAGCTCGAGCGATACTTTGTTGCCTATTGAAGGGATTCGTATCGCGGCCGGTCATGCGACCGCTATTGCCGCTATTCGAACTCATGGTGCTGCTTGACGCATTGTATTATAATAAAAGTATTCTGAGGGTCTGGTCAAGAAGTGGGGGAGGAAATGGAACCTTTCGGGAAGATGACTAAAATCATCACGGCACTTACCCCACACGCTCCGGAGTACAGAGATCGCTCTAGACATCTAACGTAAAATACTAACAATATGTGTATCATATGTTCCCCTATTTCTTAGTCATGTTTTTAATTAAACCATACTATTGACACTTGTTCCGAAGAATTGATTTCTATAGCACTCTATAGATGAATCATAAACTAAAGCATTTAACCATCCTGCTTCTGCAATACTGTTCTTGTACAATATCTTCACTATCATCAAGTTACTAATTTACTACATTCCTGTTATCAGTCATACTTACCTAGTATCAGGAGTTGACCCAGGCTATGAAGCGGAGTAGATCTTCAATTATCGCTATCTTCTTTTCATAGTTTGCGTTCTTTATCCAATACCTCTACTATTGTTCTAGATCCCTTGATTTCTTAGTAAAGTAACAGGCGCGAGAATGAACTATAAATTGATACAGGTACTTTCCTTCTATCTTTACAGTGCCCTGCTCAAAATCTCTTCTACTGTTTGTTGACGAAAGTTCGATAGCAGTTGAATAAATTATTTGATACAATATAATGAAGACATAAGCGAAGCATAAAAAGAATTGACAGATTTTTGGATTCACAATCTAGATAATAATTATCTGGCATAATAAAATCATTTAATCATGTAGTAAGGTATAAAAATAACTAATAAATTATTTAAATGAAATATATGTATGATATTCTACAAGAACCAGATGTGATGTGTTGAAGAAGACGACATTTCATATGAACAATTAAATATTATTTGTAAAAACAAATAATATAACAATAATAATTTCTGTCATGGAACGTTCAAGCCATTCGATCTACGCTACTGTGAGGAGAATGACGCAAAAAAGACACGCACGCGCGGATCGCTGACGCCAGAAACGGGCGTAGTAAGCAAGGTAGTTCAGTGAGTCTTGAACCGGCGTTCATCGTCTACCACCGCCGGAAACGTTCTGGTGACCCGGAATCGAGCGGATGCGTCGCTGTTCCTCGTAAACGCTTCGTGGGTGTCCGCAAAATACCTCGTAAAGGATTAGTCGGGATTGAATAAAAGAGAAAAATTATAATAGTAAAAGTTGCGCGTTGGAACTTGTGAGTTCAAAGGTCGGAATTGAACGTATCGTCTGTGAGCGAGTATTGGCAGTGTAACAGTTTGTGACAGCAGCGGTTTGGCGCGTGTCGAGACCGGGCGGCGCATGTTACCCTTCTGGAGGTTCGATCAAAAGGAGGACAGCTGGGCGAGACTCGTAGCAAAGGGATGCTCTGAAAAGCCGGCTGAGCATTCAAGGTGAGCCTGTTCCTCCACAGGTCCTTTCTCTGACATCGGCTCGGCGCCGATTTTCGTCAGCTGATCACAAGCTTTTTCAAACGTGCTGAATACTACATGCGTTCGGTATGCTATTCTTGGAGTAAACCGTTGCTGGTATGGTACGTTCAACTCTTTGCGGAGGAATTCAGAAGAGAGAAGTTTAGCTGTAGGTGTGTGAATGATTATAAGCAACGATTTTAGAGTTTTAGAAGAAGAAACACTAACCATCAACGAGCTATCTAACAATAAAGAATAGTTTGAAATATTTTTGTCCTTTAAATTAATCCTTTCCCTACACCTATCAAAATCAAGAGAAAAATAATTGGTTTTAACAGAAGCTTCCTACTTTCTGTTAGATCTTAACAGCCGATTTAAATTCCTAAACAGAAGTATGTATCTGTTTCGTGCTTGCTCCAAAATTCATCACAGAGCAATCTCCGCGATGCGGAGCATGAGAGATTAAATCGCTCCCGCGCGAAACGTCAGCGACTCATAAAACATATAGGTCTTCTAAGTACAGACTGAGGAAAAAATAGATTATAGTGAACATTCATGAAAACGCATTCATCGATTCACCAAGAACACAATCACAAAGCGAGAAACAACGCGTGAATCACACAGTACCATTATTGTTGATATTTGTCTAGACCTAAGGTCTAGACCTATAGATACCCATATAGTATAAGTAATTTGAAATCAAATATTGAATTAAAGTGACAATACCTAGAAGAATAACAGTATAGTAGAAATGCTATTTTTGTTGCAAAAATGATATCCATTAATCAAATATGTGACGTTCAGATACAACAGTTCAATTAATCTTATTAGTAGGAAATTCTTTTGAAACGATATAAAAACACTCGGTCGAACGAAGTGGAATTAATGGGTAATGCGAATTTAGATAAAACGATCGAACTCACTTCAAATAGTTACCTTGCTTATCGGTAAATTACGGACACAGGTGTATTTAATGTGAATCATATTATACATCTAGATACGTAACGAGTGACGTGTACATTTCCTTAATCAAACGCTCTTTTGTCGCGTGCGGCACGCATCAACGCATGATCTGCACGCAGGTACGCAGTTCTTTGTACACGAATGTGCGAGGAATTTAATAAAACGTAGTGGGCGGAATCAAAGCAGGAACTTTCTGAGAGTACATTACTAATTCCAAGAAGACCTCACATGTTAGGTCACATGCAAGCTCATTACTTCTTCTTTTTGATGTTAGTTATGTTTCCCGCGGGAAGAATTTAAATGCTTAATACCTGTTTGTAGTAGTGTGTTAATTAAAAGGCAACAAAAACGAGACAGTATGTTACAGTTTTATCTTTTCATTTGTGTATCGTGGATTACATCTAATGAAGGAAAAGCCAATAAATTGACATGTTCATTCATGTCAGGTATGGAATTGTAGGCGAGCTTCTGATCGAAGGCTAAAATTATCGGAATTCCACAATGGCTCTGTCATCGCCATTCATTCACAGTAAACCGGTGAATACCAATCGAACTGGAGTTAGTTCCTTGTAATCGATGATTCTAAATTTATTGCAAGTTCTTCTGAATGGAATTGAAAGAAAAACCTTGGAGGTACAATATAAATCGAATGCTCCCGAGAAAATTAAAATTCGCTACTGAGCGATTGAATTCTAAATTCAAAGTTAAATTTAGATTTGGCAGTAACTGGATTTGAACGCTGCGTTATCTGTTTGCTAGCAGTCAATAAGATAGTGTTCGATCGATGTGATTAGGATTAGGGAAAGAAAGAAAGTGAATTTAATCGTATTATCTATTAAAATTATTTTCAATCCCCTCATCTTTCATTAGTTTCTGTTCAATCATCAATGATAAGAGTTCAAAAA